AAATTTTTGGACTCCTCGATACTCAATCATATCCTCTTTTTGGATGATTGAATCCGCCTTTAGAGTCCCATATTTAAGAATGCCGGAACTCTTTCTTCTGTATCTAGGATCATCAAAAAAGGCAAAAATACTATTTCTACGGAAAATACCATTTATGGGTATTTCAATCGAGATACCTGAATGCGGTATGAATTCTTTCTCGTGCTCTTGAATCGATTGGAATGGAATGAGAAATCTATTTCTTCGCCTTTTTGCTAATAAATCCGAGTTCTCATGAAAAATAGCAGAATATATGAAATTATAATGACTAGTACCTACGATTCCATTTAATTCTGAATAATCGGGAATCCCGTATTTTTTTTTTCCAGAAAAATCCGAACTGAAAAATTTTTGGCCCACTTGATCATTATTCACTGAGAGGTTAGAAATATATTTTCTTTCGACGGAAAGAAAGGGTATGTTCATTTGATCTTGATCTTTGTGGATCGAAAAAAGAATTAGACTAGATCCACATGAACCTCCTGATAATATCCATAAATGACTTGTTTTTGGTAAGAGATGGACATTACTATATGTAAATTCAGGTGCATGGGATACATCAGTACTCCAGTGCATTTCGCCCTCTGAGTCAGAATAAATATACTTTCTAACCCTCTCTTTAAAATGAAAAGTGTATGTTCCCTCGCGAATCTCAGCAATTACTTGTTCTGATTCCACATATTGATTATTTTGAACTAAAAGAAAACTTTTTGGTGGAATAGTCACGCTATGTATAATATCTTCGCTCTCAATAATTACAGACAAGTCTATATAACATAGAAAGGCAGGATGCCCGTGACGTGTACGTGTAGGATGAACCAAATCCTCATTGAATTTGATTTTTCCATTATAAGGGGCTCGTACATGTTCAGCTGTACCTCCTGTAAATACTCCGCCGGTATGAAAAGTTCTTAATGTTAGTTGAGTCCCCGGTTCGCCAATAGATTGACCCGCAATAATACCTACAGCTTCCCCCAATTCAACTAGGTCACCATGAGTGGGACTCCGACCATAACATAATCGACAGATCCAAGATGTGCTCCGACAAGTAAAGGGAGTTCGAATAGATATTGATTGTGTTCCAAAAGTTATGAATCGATTGACAAGTCCAATCCCAAGATCTTGATTTCGAAAGGCGACACATCGGGAACCGATATATATATCGTCTGCTAAGACACGACCGGTTAATGTTTGGATAAAAATTCGTTCTGACATCATCCGATTTTTATTTCGAGGACTAAGAGAAATCCCTCGGATAGTGCCACAATCTGTTCTACGTACAACAATATGTTGAACTACTTCAACAAGTCGACGCGTAAGATATCCAGCATCTGATGTGCGTACCGCAGTATCTACAACTCCTTTACGGGCTCCATAGCACGAAATAATATATTCTGTTAAAGACAGTCCTTCGCGTAAATTGCTTTGAATAGGTAAATCAATCATTTGCCCTTGAGGATCTGACATTAATCCTCTCATACCTACTAATTGATGTACTTGAGATGCATTTCCCCTAGCTCCCGAAAAAGACATCATATGGACTGGATTGAAAGGGTCCGTCATCCTAAAATTAGGATTCATTTCTTGTCGCAAATATTCACTTGTAGCATACCATATCTCAATAGATTGGCGTAATTTTTCTACCGCATGTACATTCCCATAATGATGGTGTTTTTCCAAAATCAAACTTTGTTGTTCAGCATCTTGGACAAGCCAGCCCTTAGAAGGTATCGTTAAAAGATCATCAATTCCTAATGAAATGGATGTAGCAGTGGCTTGCTGGAAACCCAGAGTCTTTACTTGATCTAGGATGTGTGATGTATATGCCATCCCGAAGTGATCTATTAATCGGCTAATAAGTCGTTTAATCGCAGTTCCATCTATCACTTTATTGTGAAATACCAGATTGGCCCGTTCCGCCATAAGTACCTCCATATTCTGCTGAATGGGATTCGACAATGAGTTTGAGTCAATGATTACAAAACTTCCTTTTCTCGATCTTGATTTGCGTAGAATTTTAGGTCAGGAACTATGGTCCGAGTTGAATCGGAGAGGTCCGAATTTACACGGGTGTCCTAGAATTACTTTTTTTAATACCATATTATTAGGTATCATATGAACAGGCTTGAGAAAAACCTTGTACAGCTTCCTCGATTTCTCGATAAAAAGAAATATGACCAACTGTAGTTCGAATATATATACAAAAAGTTTCTTTTTTTATACTTCTTACTATTAGATAGTGTGCATAAATCTCATGATAGTTACCAAAAGATTCATAGTGAACTTCGATAGGAACTTCTCTTGAAGCAATAACACGTTGATCTAATTGCCACCGAAGCCACAAAGGACTATCTAAATTGATTCTTTTCTGCCGATAAGCTCCAATTGCATCATAGGAATTGCAAAAAAAGGGTTCTTTCATATACTTAGAGTTTGTTTCGTAAATTCTTCCATTTTGATAGTTTTTTCGATTACATGGATTATATCTATTTGCACAAATACCTCGACGAGTGCCGCTCGTTAATACATAGAGTCCAATAAGCATATCTTGAGTCGGTACAGAAATTGGATCTCCAATAGCTGGAGATAAGAGATTCATATGAGAAAACATAAGTAAACGAGCCTCTGCTTGAGCCTCTAAAGATAAAGGCACATGAACAGCCATTTGATCCCCATCAAAGTCTGCATTGAACCCCTTACAAACTAATGGATGTAAACAAATAGTGCGTCCTTCCACTAAAATGGGTTGGAATGACTGTATGCCTAATCTATGTAGAGTAGGTGCTCTATTCAATAATATGGGATGCCCCTGCATAACTTCTTGAAGGATTTCCCAGACAACCGGCTTTTTTTCACGAATTTGACTCTTAGCAACTCCTATGTTCGAAGCCAGATGTTGTCTAATTAGACCACGAATTACAAATGTCTGGAAGAGCTCTATTGCTATTTCGCGAGGCAATCCACAGCGATGTAATGAAAGTGAAGGCCCAACGACAATCACTGAACGCCCCGAATAATCGACCCGTTTGCCAAGCATAGTCTCGCGAAATCTTCCCTCTTTGCCTTCAATTACATCTGAAAATGACTTGTAAACCTTATTATGACCATCCCTCATGGGTTGTCCACGGATTCCATTATCAAGAAGTGTATCCACGGCTTCTTGTACCAATTTTTCCTGACACATTACTAATTCCCCTGGTGTAGATCTACTTGTTGTTAATAGATCGGTAAGAGTATTGTTCCGATAGATAACTCTTCTATAGAGTTCATTAATATCTGAACTCATTAGTTTACCCCCTTCTATCTGAATGATGGGTCTCAACTCGGGAGGAAGAACCGGTAAGAGACATAAAACCATCCATTCCGGTTCTATATTTGTTCGAATAAAATGCTTAGCTAATTCCATACGTCTAACTAAAAAATCTTTTCTTCTTACAATCTTTCGATCTTCCCATTCATTCCCCGTGGGACCTTCTTCTCCTAATTGTTTCCATTCTACCAACGAATTTTCTATAATAATTCGTAAATCTAAATCGGCTAATTGTTCTCGGATAGCACCCGCCCCAGTAGAAATTTCTCGATTTCGAAATATATCGAAACCTTGAGTAGTAAAAAAAAGTGGGATGCTGTATTTCCAGGATTGAATTTCATATTCAAATGAACCTCGTAATCGTAAGAAAGTCGGTTTTTTAGTTATGGGCCTAGCAAAAGAAAAATTGGGATAGGGTCCACTATATGATCCCCCCCCCGAAAACCGGACATGACAGTTTCCTCTCATCCGGCTCAAATAGTTATACCAAATGAAAGATAAAGAAGGGGGTCTCGCTTTCAAATTCCATTTTTGAAAATCAAGTAAAAAACCCCAAAAGAATCTACGCCTTACTCAAGTTCTTAGTGCAAATCAACCAAGATTTCAGTGATTCAATTAATTCTTCTTTTATTTCTATTTAGATTCTTTAGTGAATTCAAAATTACGACAGAAAAAAATGTCAAATTCTTGAGTAGTCTACTTCCCTTCGAATGCCGGAATACTTTTTACCTTAAGTGAAAGGAATGCCTTAGAATTCATACGGGATTTATTTGTCTATGTATTGTTCCATTCGATCTTTTAGGTCCTGCGTCACCTCGATGGTTAGGCCAAAATATTCTTAAAGCTTATATGCGATGTATAGACTTCTGCAACCATGACATATTTGTTTACTTGAATATAAAAAACCCAAATTTTTTTCTTTTAGAAAGATAAGGGAATGCTTAATTCGATAAAAAAAGGTCTTCTTTTCACGAGGTACGACTATCAATTTGAATTTTTTTTTTTTTTTTTACTGAATTGACCATAGACCAACCGCCCTTTTTGATTTGGAAGTATTGAATACACCCATAATTCTGAGCTTCATGTTACTCCTTTCAAGAGACATGTCAGATCGGGGGCATCCCAAATTGATTGAAGGGGATGAGAGTTTATCATTCTTAATCTGTAAAATCAAAATTTCGATCAAATCACACATCACAGTATACTAGGCCTTCTAATTCTTTAAGAGGTTTATCTAAAAGATTCGCAATATAACTAGGAAGACGTTTCAAATACCATACATGAGTTACAGGACATGTCAGTTTTATGTATCCCATTTGATATCTTCGTATCCGAGAATCAACAAATTCAACTCCACATTGTTCACAAAATTTCGGGTCTTCTTTTTCATTTCCGATCACTCGATAATTTCCACAAGCGCAAATTCCACTCTTTATAGGCCCAAAAATCCTTTCACAAAATAATCCATCTTTTTCCGGTTTATTGGTTTTGTAATGAAAAGTATAGGGTTTTCTCACCTCTCCAACTATCTCTCCATTAGGTATTTTTTTAGTAGCCCAAGCACTTATTTGCTGAGGAGAAACTAATCCAATTCGGAGTTGTTGATGTTTATACCGATCGATCATATAAGAAATTTTGTGATTCATTCCGATTAAACTTCCTTCCTATTAATCCTGAAATTCTTCTCAGATACAAGGAAATAATTCAGTTCCAGAGCCAAAGATCGTAGTTCTCGAACAAGTAATCGAAAAGATTCTGGAGCATCTTCTGGTTTAGGTATTGTTCCTCCAATGATAGTGGTACCAAGTACTTCTTGGCGAGCTCTAATATGATCCGATTTATAAGTAAGCATCTCTTGTAAAATATGAGCAACACCAAACCCCTCGAGAGCCCAAACCTCCATTTCGCCTACCCGCTGCCCCCCCTGCTTAGAACGGCCTCTAAGGGGTTGTTGTGTAACAAGTGCATAATGGCCACTAGAACGTCCGTGTATTTTATCATCAACCTGATGAATTAATTTCAAAATATAGGGCTTTCCTATTATCACAGGCTGTTCAAAAGGATCTCCTGTTCTTCCATCAAAAATTCGGCTTTTTCCCGGATACTCGGGTTCAAATACCCATGGATTCGCTGTTTGCTTACTGGCTTCATATAATTCGGAAAACACCAATTTTCTCGAAGCCTCTTGTTCATATCTCTCATCAAAAGGGGCTATTCGATAATGTCTATCTAGCAGACTTCCCGCTAACCCAAGCGAGCATTCAAATATCTGTCCTACATTCATGCGTGAGGGTACTCCTAATGGGTTGAACACCATATCCACGGGTCTCCCGTCTTGTAAATAAGGCATATCCTGTCTAGGCAAAATTTTTGAAATGATACCTTTATTTCCATGTCTTCCAGCTACTTTATCACCTACTTTGATTTCACGTTTCTGTGAAATATATACACGAATTATTTCTGGGTTATAAGTTGAACCCCCCTTTTTCTGAACCCATCTCACATCAATAACTCGACCTCTACCACCTATAGGCAATTTTAAACAAGTTTCTTTTGAGGTCGAGACCTGAATGCCAAGTATGGCCCGTAATAATCTATCTTCCGGAGCATACGAGGATTCTTTCGCCACCTGAGGCGTTAATTTACCTACTAAAATATCACCCGTTTCAACCCACGATCCTAGCATCACAATTCCATTTTTATCTAAATTTCGGAGTAAACGGCCTTCTAGATGCGGTATTTCTTTAGTGATCCTTTCAGGACCTTGGGTTGTCACATGCGTCTTAATTTCATATTTCCGTATGTGGAAAGAAGTATAAATATCACCATAGACTAGACACTCACTAATGAGTACCGCATCTTCAAAATTGTATCCTTCCCATGGCATATAAGCCACTAATATATTTTTCCCCAAAGCGAGTTCCCCACCAACTGTAGCAGCACCGTCCGCTAAAATTTGTCCCTTTTTTATGCATTTACCTCGTCGAACCTGAGGTTTTTGATGCATACAAGTATTTTTGTTTGAGCGTTGATACATAATTAATGGAATACTTAGAGTATCCCCATTGCCGGATAAAATTATCTTCTCGGTGTCAGTATAAAGGATTTTTCCCTCGTGTTCGGCTATAGCGGTAACCCCCGAATCTAAAGCCACTTGGCGTTCCAATCCAGTTCCAACAATGCACTTTTCGGATCGAGAAAGTGGAACTGCTTGACGTTGCATATTAGAACTCATTAAAGCTCGATTCGCATCATTATGTTCGATAAAAGGAATTAGAGAAGCGCCAATCGAAAAATATTGGAAAGGAAAAATGCTTCGAAGATGAACCTCTTCCCATGCGATAGTCAAAAATTCTTGTCGGTATCGAGCTGGTACAGCCTGTTCTTCTTGAATGCCCCGATTAAGAGCCAAAGAATTTCCTGCCGCTATCATATAATATTCATCTTGACTTGGCGATAAAAAAAGCATCCGTATCCGTGCTTTTTTTGATTTCTCAAAGAGTTCATAAAACGGACTTTCTAACGACCCCCAATCACCAATCCTAGCATGAATTGATAAAGATCCAATAAGTCCAACATTGATTCCTTCAGACGTGTCAATGGGGCAAATACGCCCATAGTGACTAGGATGGATATCTCGTATCCGAAAATTAGCAGTTCGCCCTGTCAATCCGCCAGGGCCCAAATAACTCAACTTTCTCCCATGAACGATTTGTGTCAATGGATTAGTTCGATCCAAAACTTGAGATAATGGGTGTAATCCGAAAAAGGATTCATAAGTAGTTGTTAACGGAGTTGAAGTTACCAAATTCTGAGGAGTAGGTATCAATTTATGCCTAATTGCTCCGCCTATAGTTCCTTTAACTACATTTTCTAAACGAGCCAGAGCCAACCCGAGCTGGTCTTGTAAAAGATCCGCTACAGAGCGAATACGTTTATTTTTCAAATGATTCATATCATCAAGTGTACCCATTCCAAATTTCATCCCAATCAAATGATCGGCAGCTGCTAATATATCTCGTGGTAACAAAAATATATTGTTCTGAGGTATATTAAGATTAAGTCTCCTGTTAATATTTCGGCGACCTATCCTTCCTAATTCACACCTTTGGTGAAAGAATTTTTTTTGTAGTTCCTTACATAAGGATTCAGAAAATATTGGCTCCCCACCTACACAAGAAAATTGTTGATAAAACTCCAAAATAGCATTTTCTTTTGACCCAATTTTTTTTTTCTCCTTCTCGGTCAAGAAAGATAAGAAAATTTCAGGGTAGCAAACATTCTCTAGAATTTCTCTTAGATTCGAACCCATAGCTGATGATAGAACTAGAATAGATATTTTCTGTTTCCTACTCACACGAGCCCATATTCTTGCTTTTTTATCAATCTCTAATTCTAACCTGCCTCCCCAATCTGATATTATGGTGCCGGTATAGACCGAAATCCCGTTATGATCCAATTCTGACTGGTAATAGATACCAGGACTTTGCAATATTTGATTGATCACAATTCTGTATATTCCGTTTACTATAGACGTTCCAAGGGAATTCATTAAAGGAATGTTTCCAATAAAAATTCTTTGTTCTTGCATATTCCTACTGGTTTTCCAAATTAATCCCGCGGATACATATAATTCAGAAGAATATGTAAGTGATTCATAGACAGCATCTCGTTCTTTTATCAGAGGTTCTACTAATTGATATGTTTCCACAAATAATTGAAATTCAATTTCGTGATCTATATCTTCAATTTTTGGAAATTTAGAAAGTTCTTCTATTAAACCCTCATCAATAAACCGATAAAACCCTTCAAATTGTATCTGATTAAATCCGGGTATTGTAGATGTTCCCTCTTTTCCATCCCCGAGCATCTTTTTAAAATTTCCCATTTATCCGTTTATTGAAAAAATCCCATCCCATCTCTCATTCTTCACCAAATCATATCCATAGAATTCGATCTAGCAATAATGGAATTTCTATTCTGTTTACTGAATCACATGAAATTTTATCCAACTCCAAGATATATGGAATGAATGTATGAAATACGTATGAACGGAGACTGGATTCAATTGGAATTTTTTATAAGAAAGAGATCCAAATGGAACAGAATTGAGAAATACCACTGGAACTTATGGAGTTTTGTAAAGATTAGAAAAAAAAAGTCATTTCATTTTAACCTATGATATTACATATTCAAATTTAATTGCATACTATAAAAAAAAAATGTATTCATGGTTGGATCTATTCGAGCAGATAAACATATAATAAATAGAAAACTTTTTTTTAACAACTTTACTTTTTTTTTCATCTATTTGCATTTCATTGTTCAAAAAAATATTTGCAGAAAAGAGATTGATTTTTACCTATTTTGAATAGAATATTTAGAATATCAGTGAATTGCAGTTGGTAAGAAAACCTGTGTTTTTTTATTTATTAATTTTGTTTATTATTAAAATAAAAAAGAATGCACAGATATATATGCCTCTTTTTCTTCTTTTATTGTGGTACAGTTCTATTTGGGACAGCACATGCTGTGCTCTATCAAAAACAAAAATTCAATTTTCTCTTCAATGTATTCACTGAAAAATTGAAATACAAAAATTTATTGAGAATTACTCCCCAAAAGCATCCCTAGAGAGATAAAATACCCCATTATAGAGCTGTAGCTCTATAACACAACGTAACGTATGTTCTTATTCTGGGGTTTACATATAGTCATCATTACTGTTATAATTGAAATTGAAGAATATTTGTTTTTAATTGAAAAAAACTCAATATAGATTTAGTTAGAAATCCATTTATAATGATTTTATTATATTATTAGAAATCCATAAATGTAGATTTGAATTCAAAAATGGTCATGAATTTACAGTAATACAGTCAATAGTTAATGGTTCTGGTTTGTACTGAATTCTAGATGGCCGAGTGGTAAGGCGGGGGACTGCAAATCCTTTATTTTGTGACTGAAAATCCATATATTTTTTTCGGAGTTGAAAAAAACGAGAAACTTTAAATCTAGTTTCTATCGTTTTGGCGGCATGGCCGAGTGGTAAGGCGGGGGACTGCAAATCCTTTTTCCCCAGTTCAAATCCGGGTGCCGCCTCAACAACAGACTTGAAATCCCCTATTATATATAACATATAACAAATGTAGGAAAAGACTCTTGATACTTTATTTTCGTAATTTTCAGCCCCTGGCTCTCGAGGTTCTATTCTCTAACCTAAAGTTTTGCCTATCAGATTCACGGAAAACTTAAAGTAGTGGAGAGAAATCCGTCGGAGTCTTCAATTAGATTGGATAGCCAGAGAGGGAATTCAATTAATAGTTTTGGAAAGGACCTAAGATACTTTGGATACAGACTCATGAAAGTCTCGGAATGCTCAGACATTCAATCAATATTAGATTAGATGATGAAGAATTGCCCTTCGTTTTACTTCCAAAAATAAAAAACGATAAAAAAAAGAAAAAGTCTTATTTTTTCCACATGTGAGTCAGATTCCTTGGATACTTCGAAAAGTGCCTGTTTACTTGTGTTTCCATCTTGTCGATTCTACTAGAAATTCTATAATAAGAATAACTCATTACATTAAAAGATAAGTGGATTTTTTGGAGTAGTTCATCAATGGTGACCAAATACCTCTCCCTTTTTTTGACTCTGCACCAGTTATTTCACTATTATTAGTGAACAATAATGGAATAGTTTCTTCATATTCATAGAAATAGGGGACAGAATTCACATGGATATAGTAAGTCTCGCATGGGCTGGTTTAATGGTAGTTTTTACATTTTCCCTCTCGCTCGTAGTGTGGGGAAGAAGTGGACTCTAGAAGTACTCCTAATTGCGGTAATAATAAAACTCTATCAACCTGTATCAATTATTTTAGTTTTCTAGACCGGCCGGCAATTTTTTTTGAGAAATTGGATTTATGTTTTATTGACTCATTTTCTATTTTTATATCGGGGTTTCCACCGTTAATCATTCATGGGGTAACCCCTGATATAAATCTGAAGAAGTTTACATCAAATTCGGATTATTTGTATTAAATTTTTATTAAATGGATCAAACAAATGAAATTGAGAAAGTATGTACATACATTTCATATTCTATTTCATTTATATTACCATTTATAAATTTATAAAGAAAAAAAGAGATATAGGTGGATTCCTTTATATTAAAATATTTCACTTGTATCTTTATACATTACAATAACCATAATGGCTAATATGGTAGAAAGAGATCTCTTTCTACCATACTAGCGGGCCCCTTAGGATACTACTACTACTGAATCTAATGCATTCCTTTAATTTAAGACGAGAAATTGAAATCCTTTTTGTTTCGTTGCATTGATAGTCAAATTGTATTCAAATTAATTATTTTGACTAACAGTTTTTACGTAAATTATAAGCAAAAAAGCAGTAGGAACGAGAATGAAGAGTGCAGTAGCAATAAATGCAAGAATATTTACTTCCATAATTTAATCGTTTATTATTTATTTTTTTCTTTGGAATATCTCGGGATTTAATCCCATAGAGATGAGAAATCTTTCGCTTGTAAACTCACTCAGATTAATTAGATTTCGATGATATCGAATAAAAGAAATATTATGAATAACAATATCGTAGCTATAAAATCGATTCATCGTCAAGAATTTAATAATATACCATAAGAAGATCTTTTATCCACATCGAATACATAATGAGATTACTAATCCAATCAAAAAAAAATTGATTTATGATTCTTTTTCCCCGCTTGCTTTTCTACAACCTAGTACTTGACTTTCCTTGTACAACCATCCGATGAAGTATCATAAAAAACCTTTTCTACTTCGATTGTTTACAAAAAGAGTTTCTAAAGAACCTTAAATAAACAATAGAAATCAAATAGAGAAAACAAGTACGAAGTTCAATTTGAAATAAAAAAAAAATTTAAGGGTCTATCATCTTTTTGGAAAACAAATAAAGGGAATGTGATAAAGACCAGTCCCAGCAAAAAAAACTAAAATATTCCAAAAAATGAACTATTTAAATTTTCTTACGAGTTTTTTCTTCAACATCGACTCTAATCTTTAAAAAGAACATGTTCATTAGGGAAAGGAAAGACTAATTTGATCTTTATTTTTTAAATATCCTCTTTCCTTGGTTGGATTCGAACTATTTTCAATTACTTTACTTCATAGAAAGAAAAGTATATAGGAACTCTTGACAAACGTATTATACGCTATCCTATTCCATTTTCCTACACGAGTTAATAGGAGATTAATTGACAAAAAGCAGAAACCCCGTACAGTATCTCTTTCTTGAAGTGTTGAATGCTCTCAATAATTATACTAATTTACATATGTCTCTCTACCATCAATTGGTGCTAGTTAAAATAATGGAAATACCCCTTTCTTTTGCTTAATGAAAAAAAAAAAAGAGAAACTCCCCTTTTTGTTTCTGGGCAAGGGAATCAAAACGGTTTCGTTTCTCTTTTTTTTTTATTGAATCCGCCGGGACTGACGGGGCTCGAACCCGCAGCTTCCGCCTTGACAGGGCGGTGCTCTGACCAATTGAACTACAATCCCATGGAAATCAAGTGGGTAGCTTACATATTCCTTCTTATGATTTCATTTTAATCGTTTCAATTTTAGATTCAAATTAGTGTTTTGTAACAAAGAAAATCACAAGTGATATATTGATATCTATATGGACATCACTTTAGTGATAGCAAGGCGGATTGCTGGTAATCCTTGCATTATTATCAATCGACTCTATTCATTAAAGTTGATATTGAAAGGATCCATATCGGGATCCTTAGTAAGATCGGAATTTTTGATGGAAACAAAAAAGTAACTAGACACAAGAAATAAAGAAAAAAGTTAAGTCCAAAGATACCCCGAAATTTGACCTTTTTTTTACCATTTATGCAAAACAAAAAGTGTTCCGTAAACAGCGAATTATTGGGCCGAGCTGGATTTGAACCAGCGTAGACATA